GGGCCCAGCCCTCGGCAGCCTACGCCCCGGAGTCACTGGGAGTCATGTCAGCATAGCCCTCCCCACAGCAGCAGGGGCCTTGGGCGCAAGTCTTCCTTCCTTGGTCCCTAAAAGCCACTGGACCGATTAGTGACGCTCCACCCGCCTGTAAATCACCCCCAGGAGATATTTTTCTTTTCTTTTTTAGTTTTATTTCGAGGTGATATTTTTCCATTGATTTATTTTATTTATTTTAAAATATATTTTCATTGATTTCAGAGAGGAAGGGAGAGAGAGAGAAAGAGAGAAACATCCATGATGAGAGAGAACCATGGATCGGCTGCCTCCTGCATGCCCCACACTGGGGATGGAGCCCGCAACCCGGGCATGTGCCCCGACCTGGAATCAAACTGTGACCTGGTTCCTAGGGCCACGTTCAGCCACTGAGCCACGGGCCGGGCTGCTCTCGGGCCTTTTCATCTGCTCCCCATGCAGCGCCGGGCTGTGTCGCACGTGGCCCGTGTGGAAGCTCCAGCCACACCCAGGGCACTAGCTCATCAGGAACCATCCCAGCCGCCTGTCTTCCTCCGCGGCCCAGGCTCTGATTTCAGGAGCCGGCAGGAGCCAGCGCCGCCCTGCAGGTGGGAAGGCAGGGCGAGGGACAGAACCGAGCCGCCTCGCCCGAGTGTGGGGCTGGCCTCGGCTCCGAACACCCCGTGCCCTTGGCTCCTGTTTCACGGGATTTGAGCGCTCGGGGCGGCTTGTCCGCCCGCGTGTGTAACAGGGCACCTCCTAGTTCTGAGAAAAGGGAAAGTCTGTAATCCACACCTTGGTATAGAAATGTGTTTACCCAGGTGAGGGGACGGGGAGTGATCTCGGGGCCAGCTCCCCGCTCTGCACCCCACCCTCAGCCCAGGGTCCCCCCTCCCTGGGCCACCCAAGAAGGGTGTAGGAATTTCTGCTCGCACACCACGTGGTCCACAAAAATCTCTCTTCACAACAACCAAAGAACAGTATTGTGTTTGCATGAATGTGTGTTGTTACCCCGGCCGGCGTGGCTCAGTGGTTGAGCATCGACCTATGAACCAGGAGGTGATGGTTCGATTCCCAATCAGGACACATGCCCGGGGTGCGGGCTCCATCCCCAGTGTGGGGCGTGCAGGAGGCAGCCGATCCATGATTCTTCCTCATCATTGATGTTTCTCTTTCTCTCTCCCTTCCTCTCTCTGAAATCAATAAAAATTTAAAGTAAATAAAATAAGTACATTAAAAACAAACAAACAAAAGGCGGGTTTGGACAGAAGAGAGGCCGTGTCATTCCCACAGCGGGTGCCTGTCGGAACAGGAGACTTGCCCGAGCGCCGACAGGAAGCGAGAGCAGCCGCGGAACG